TCCGAGGACTGAAGAGCAGGCACTGCTGGTGGGGGATGGGAGGGTGTCCAGCGAGAAACGGTGGTGCCTAGATTCAGTCAAGGTGGTCAAGACAGAGAGGAGGCTGGCTTGGACCCTGCTGGGGGTGTGGGGGGTAGTCTGCTGTGTGACCGCCCCCTGAGCTTGGGGAGGAGAAAGCCCTTCTGTGCTGGGGTCTGGATGCCCCCATGTTGGGTGGGACTCCATTCCTAGACCAGCTCTAGGAGACCCTGTGAATATGGACAGGGTAGCCAGAGGGGTCCCAGCCCTGGGCTCTCAAGCAGACATCGCCCTTTGGAGGGAACTGGGTCCGGGAGACGAGGCACCCTGCCTCTGTCACCACACCTCTCCTGCCCCGTTGGGGTCACACCCCTCGCCTGCTGCCATTGCCATGGGGACCCCAAGGATTACTTCCATCCCTCCCTCACAGCCTGGCAGGAAGTCAACAGGGAAATAAATGGTGAGTGGAGGCTGACTGGCTCCCCTCTGCCATACACAGGCCTCCAGGCCCCCCCAACATAGCCAACACTTACCTAACACTTCACGCTTTCCAGCCCACTTCATCTTCACAATACTCCCAGCAGGCCCTTCTGTCATTCCACTGGACAGATGGTCAGATGGTCAGTGACTTGCCCAAGGGCCCACACAGGTGAGACGGGGCAGGCTGGCCCCAGAGCCCACGCTCCATCCCCTCGGGTGGCACACTGGCCCTCACCCCTTGGTCACGTGACAGCTCCCTGCCCTGCTCTGTGCAACACCCTTGCTGTGCAGGGGAGAAATGCACTGTGGGGACGGACTATTCACCAACATGGGAGTGGCTGACAGAGTTCATCAGAGGCAGAGACACCTCACATTGCTCCCCGGAGGGCCAGGCCCAGCCCGCTTCAGAGACACCTGCTCCATTTTCAGGAGAACAAGCAGACTGCGTGGTCCGGGAGTCTCCCTGGAGCAGATTCTGTGGCCACAGGCTCCTGCAGAGCGTGAAGGAGACCTCAGTTATTTCTCCGGCCTGTTCAGCCAAAACCATCTTTTGTGGCCACCTCCCCGGGAGGCTCAGGGCTCCCACCTGCCGAGGAAGGTAGGCTCTGGTCCCATGGTGGCTCATCTGATAATTTCAGGAGACTGTGGGTGCCCCCTTTGAGGGCACAACAAAAGCTGAACCCCACGCTCTGTGGCAGGTCACTCTGGGGACCCAAGAACAGTGCCGGGAAGGAATCAGGCCAGGCCTGTGCCTCCCGGAGTGACCTGCTTGGTGGTGGAGGGCTCTGCCACTGTGAGGAGACAGACAAGGTCCTGCAGGATCAGGGGCTCCTCTCCGGAAGTGAAATCCGGGGGGCTCCCTGCTGGAGATGGGGTCCTTACTGGGAGGGGGCCCCAAGGATAAGCAGGAGGATTTGGGGGGGCAGAGGTAGGACCAGAAGCTTCTGGCAGAGGGAGTGGCCTGAGCAAAAATCTGGGGGCTGGGTGGCCCATGCATTCTGGGGGCCAGAAGGAGACACGAGGACATATGTCTGAGGCTCGACTTTGTGCTGTGCCCTGTGGGACGATGATGTGCCCAAGGCCAGGTCAGCAGTGGTCCCCTGACCTTCTACCCTCTCATTCCCCATGCCCGCAGAGCCATGAAGAGGCGGTCCATGCTGCTGGCCCTGGTGGCCGTGGTCCTAATGCTCCTTATCATTGGCCTCTGCGTCTGGCTGCCTGAGACCTTCAAGCCCCACAGCCACGTGTACCCCAGAGCTGCCGTGGCCGCGGATGCCAAGCGCTGTTCAGAGATCGGGAGGTGAGTGGGGCAGGGTGTGGGGACACAGGCCCTGGAAGTCAGCCACCGTAAATGGACCTGGGCAAGACCCTCACCTCTCTGGAACTCAGTTTCCCCACTGGTAAATGGGCTGCCTGGATGAGGGGTGTTCGGTGTGCGTGGAGCTGCCTATCCTGTCCCTGGACCTTCTCAGCAGCTTCTGGTCAGGGGAGAAGGGGACACTGGCCCTGAGAGCAGGGTGTGGGTCTCCCAGTGTCCAGCTGAGCCCTTTTCTCAGTTCAAGGGTGTCTGTCTCTTCAGATAAACTCTGCTGTTTTATTTTTAGACCCCTAGCTCACATGTACAAAGATCAGTTCTCACTTAAAAACTTAAACAGAAAAAAGATGTTGTTAATAAAAGTAACAATTTCCCCTTTTTTTCCGATTATAAGTCACGTACATCTGTTTGCTTGAAAAAGAGGAACATTTAAGCCCGTTGGTTTTAGAATACAACAGTTTTTTACATTACAAAATCAAAAACTATGGGCTCCTCTCCATCCTCCTTTGGGCAGTGTGGCCAGGCGGTGGGGAGGTGTGTGGAGGGGTGCGCATCTCGGAGGGTAGAGAGCCCGCCGGCTCTCACTCCCGGCACGTGCCACTGGCAGGGATGCATTGCTGGACGGCGGCTCAGCGGTGGATGCTGCCATCGCGGCCCTGCTGTGCGTGGGGCTCATGAACGCACACAGCATGGGCATCGGGGGTGGCCTGTTTCTCACCATCTACAACAGCACCACACGTGAGTGGCTGGCAGGGTGGGAGGTGAATGGCGGGGCTGCCTGCCTCAGGCTGCACTTGGGCTGGGCAGGCAGAGCTGGGCAACTCCTAGGTTCACACAAGTGAGGGGCTGGTGTTGGTCCGGACTGCCCACATGCATCTTCTTCCAGGAAAGGCTGAGGTCATCAACGCTCGAGAGGTGGCCCCTCAGCTGGCCTCTGCCGGCATGTTCAACAGCTCAGAGCAGTCAGAGGAAGGTGAGTGCGGGCTCGGTGTGGGTGCAGGGGCAGGACAAGCTGCTGGAAGGCATAAGCACCCCCCCACCCTCCATATTCCCCCCATCCCATCTGGGGCTGGGAGTGGCTCTGGCAGTCCCCTCCCATCCCTTCCTGGCCCCACAAAACCCTCCATAATGATTGGTCAAGCCCATCATCACAGAGGGTAAAGAGAGCTTCTGTTATTTCTGCTCAGGTCCCTCCAGGGCCACCTGGAGCTAGAACACGGAAAGAGGGATTACTAT